ACAGAGAGGAGGTCTGAACATTAGAAGTATGAGGTGTATAATATGTAGTTTACTGCATTTGTTTATGATCTGGTCTTGAAGGTTAATCAGCTACTGATGGTTGATTATCATGTGTTTTCTTCAAGAGAAGTGTTTGTACTACTATGGGTATTATCTCCAAAACCATAGTAAATGCTTAAACCCATGTAATTTAGACTGATGTTGGAACATCATTTATGTTCTTTGCTTCTTTAGCTAAGGAATTTTTTGGTTTTGTTCATGGTGAAATGTACGGTCAAGCCACTGGCCTATTTTGGAGCAGTCTATGGTGTGAATGGTTATCATGGCTGGTTGTCATGAAGATGAATCAGCTGGTGCCAAATGTGTGCAGAAGAATAATATCAGACCGAATTTTCTACCTAGTGTGAGAAGGTAGTATCATATGACTAATGGTAAATACTTTGACGAGAGCTGAGTATTTGTCTAAGGTGTTATGCATGTCTGCAGTCTGAACAGTATGATTCATAAAGTTTGTTGAGAATTTATTTTTCTCTATGTAGTTGTGTTAAGTAGCTTGGGTTAGGAAGCTTCTAACTTGTGAGAGTTTATCTCTCTCAATGGTGCTCTGGTGTGTGACAACCAGATCTAGTTGCTGAAGTTGTGTTCTTTGGAGATTCTCTGGTTTCAAGGACTTTTATGCAAATAATAAGTCCTATAAATGGTGTTTTAAGAACTAGAGTGATTGGATTCTGTGATGAGAAGCTAGTGTCCTAAATGATGTTGTAACATCATGCTTGCCTGTGGATGTCGTTGGAAGAAGCTCAGAATTATGAATGTATAATTTATTATTCTACATTATATTTAGAAGTGGAAATTCTAACTATGATGGAGAAGGATGTGAAGCTTCTGACCCTGTCCTCTAGGGTGTGGGGTGAAATGCATGACTTATGTCATGATTGAAGATAGAAATTGGACCAGAAATTGCTAAGAGTAGAAGAAGAATGTCAGATAAGGTGATCTGATCAGAATGTCTGTTGAGGTGGTGGTTTCTTCTACTAAAAATAAAAGATGGTGGAAATCTGGAACTTGTGTAGAAAGTAAGCTAAGAGTATTTGTTCTGTAATATGTGAGAAATTCCAAATCTAGTGTGTCTTATGTGGGTCTGTAAGGACAATTATCAGTTGTGTCCTTGGTGTGTGAATAGCTCAGGATGCTTGGTGGTATACTCAAAGAGCTAGTATATCTGAATCTGTAAAAGTCAAGATTGCTTTTACAGCATATGAAGATGTTCAGCATGTGTGTTCATCCAAGTGTGTGAATTAGTTGTCCTTCACTATGAGAATATGAAATAATTCATGAGATTTCATTTTGTGCTCAAGTGTTCTTCTTCAACAGGAGCATTGTTTATCCATGTCAGGGGGTGAATTATTTTTCTATGATTTGTTGTTGCAATGGTGTAGATTCTGTGAAGCTTGTGTGTGTCTCAAGAGAGGTTGTTTATTGAATTATGTGCTCACATGCTTCTTAGGAGGATTCTGGAGGACAGTCTTGTTTGTGTCTGAAAGAATTTATTTTTCTATGCAGTTTTTAGAAGGACTCCATAGAAATTTTTAGTTGATGGGAAACGTCACACATGTGATGTTCTAATGTCTTCGACGTGTTTTTCCTTGAGCCAAACAAGGAAATATTTTGGACAGTGCAATCTTTTACACGTCAGGAGGGAGTGTAAAGCGTGCTTGTTGTCTATGCATGCGCCTTTATTAGAAATAACTCTTTCTAGAAGAATCAGTCAAGAATCAATGAAGGTAGTCAAAAGTTGTTTTGGAAGGTGCGTTTGTTTTTTGTTTATCTCTCTCAAATAATATTCTCATTGACCAAGATTGTTATTTCCTAAGAGAACTGATTGACTATTTAAAGAGGTCGATTCTTCAACTCTTTCATCTTGTGGGGGTTACTCTTCCTCTATTATTATAGCCTGTGTCCAGATGTGAGGGCTTTGTTTGTCAATTTTTAGTCAAAAAGGGAGAGAGAATTTTTATTCAACTGTGAGTCTGAAGTTTATTTTTGAACCAATTTCACAAGGATGTATAATAGACTATTTTGTTCTGAGTCTGTTGGTTTTTGGTTTTAATATTTGTGACTTGTGATCTAAGTTATGAACACAGTTGTGACTTGTGTTTTGAGTTATTCAAATTGAAGGTATGCTGAGTGTTGTTTGACGAATGTTTCTGAATTGAGGGGGAGCTTCAATAATTTTCTTCCTCGTGTGCACCAAATGACTTCAGGACTTTCTATTCTCCTATCCTGAGGTTGTTGTTCTTTGGTGATGAGTTATTGTGTTGCAATGGAGTTGTTATGAACAAGATGTTGAACATGATGTCCTAACATCATTGTGCTTGTGAAGAGATGTCCCTCCATGTTGCTATGTTGTTGTGTTCAGTAGTTTCTGAAAACTATTGATGATGGGTGTATTTTTTTTATTGTTGTAATCTGGATTGTAATTTATGTTATTTGTTTTAGCCAAAATTTGTCAAAGGAGGAGATTGTTAGTTCTCTAGTTAAAGGATTAGCATTAATTTTAATAAAACAAATATAGCAGCAATATGTTAAATGGGATGTGATTACTTGATATGAAGAACAGGTTGAGCAAGAAGTCTTATTTTATAAAGAACGTGTTGAGTTGAAATGTTTTAACATCTGAAGCAACATGTCAGATAAGATGTCTTATGCAGGGTCAAAAGACATCGCGCATGTGTTGGGTTGGACAGTTGGATTAGTTCAAGTTTTAACAGTTGTAGAATATTTTGAGAATATTATGCTATCCTATGTGGCGTTGTTTTATAGGTCTGAAAGATTCAAGCTTAAATCAAGAAGAATATTCACTTTCTAATTATGGAGATAAATTAAGAAAAATATGATTGAAGACCTATTTTATAGCAGAAGTTTCTGCTGAGTTGTAGCAGCTGATATGATGTGATTTGAAGTCCAAATCCAGTTGAGAAAAAGGTTATAAATAGAAACATTATAACCTAGAGGAAGTTACCAGGTGTGAATTAAAAGATTATTTATTAGGGATGAGTTTATAAGTCACTCTCTAGGAGAGTTGGTATGTATGATCCACTCGACATGTGAGTTGGATTGTGTTCCTTGAATTGTAAGGTTTTGTTCTCCTCGAAACTGTGAAGCAATAGTGAGTATTGTTCTTGGAGAAAGCTTTTAAACAACTTCAAGTTGTGTTCTTAGTCAAGAGTTTTGGCTAGGTATTGTCATGGAAGTGTGTCTTCTAATTTTGTATCATGAAAGTGTGTCTTCCTATTTTGATTCAATCGTTGTCTGTGATTGATGAGAGAGTTGAGGGGGCCCTCATACCTAAGTGAGTCTTAGGTAAAAAATTAGCACGGATAGTGATTAAGTGAGAAGTTGTAGACGAGAGAGTTTAGCTTCGAATTGGTACTATTATAGTGGACTTTTCCCTGGCTTAGTATGTTCCCAGAGCAGGAGAGTTGCTCAGAAATGAGTTAAAAATTTTGTGTGTTGTTTATGCTTTTCAGTATTGTTTTGTATGTTTATACCTTGCCTATGTGTTTTAAGTCGCATCAGATATCTCAATATGTCATAAGACATCTAAAGTCTGATATACCAGAATTTCATAATAGAATAGTGTATATGACCCTCTAGTAAAAGCGAGTGTTTATAACTCCCAGTGCTTGGCCAAGGTTTCCATTTTAGACCGAATGTCCAGACCCACAATGGAGACTGTTAGGATCCTACGTGGGTAGAGGAGACCAATTCATGGTCTCTATCCTGGTTAAACTGCCTTGTGATTCTCGGAGGGTGAAGACCCGTTCTTTTCGAAAGCAGAATAACTCTAATATTCAGAGGAATGTTGACCATGTATTCTTGACGGACACATGGAGGAGACGTATTTATCGGGCACATGGAAGGGATATCTCGATGGGCATTATGGAGGAAGAGGTCCTCGAGGAGCACGTGTAAAAGACGTTCATGACATGCACGTGTTGAGAAGGAGATCCTCTACGGACACGTGTGAGAAACGTTCCTCAAAGGTCATAACAGTGTGGACTACAATAATAGACCTTCGTAGCAGAGTTGAACTGAGTCTTGCCCAACAACAGACCAAGCGTAAATTCAGTCCAGAATATCTTAGTAGGTTTAGATTAACCACATCTGACGTGAAGGATACTGATTTCCCAGGGTGCTACAGAGTATCATTGTTTGAAGTATCATTAGTTTTTTTTTCTCGCTTTGAACTTTACCTTGTTTTTATAATAGAAAATATATATTAAGAAGCACTAGTAGATCAACGTATTTCTCTAAGACAATACCTAATACAACAATTTAAGACATGTTATCAAAAATAATTATCAACATCCCAAATAAATTATTAAACCAGCGTCGCTAGAAATATCTAAAATTGAACAAACATAATCATAATAGTATCATAGCTCTGATTAAATTTATTACCGTTAAGAGCGCAGATGGCATAAACACTCCCCAAATCAGATGCACCTACCTCATGGAGAATTTGGTTTTCAACGTAGGAAAGATGACCCTACCTCATAATCACTAAAATTTAACGTTTACAAATGTCATACATCAACCCATTTTTTACCGCAACATCAAGCTTTCTCATTGATAAAAAACATTATATGAACAGGTGGAAAAATGCACAAAAGTTACAAAAATTGGAACCAAAAGAAGCAGTTCTTACAACTAAGATAGCCTGGAACTTCCAAAGAAAGCATAAAATGCAATGACCTTGTACAATAGTACCCTTCCTTCAGACTGTAGACTGACCAAAACCTGGATGCTACGAGGAAAGCTTACAAAAGCTATTCTGCAACTAGTACAAGTCTACCAACTTTAGTCACTATTCCTGGGTAAGGAATCACCAAATTCTTGATGGCTGCAATCATCCATTCTAGATCATAACTGCATGTGGTAACTCACAAGATATTCTATGCTCAACCAGTATGATTTACAATTGTCCTCTCATCAGATTAGCCAAGCAAGTCCCTGAACAAATTGGGATTCTGGCCCGTGGGAGTGACACCCATCTGCCTGACTTTTGCATCCTTCTCCAAAGAATCTTTAGCATTTGCACCCTTTACAGATTGTGATGAGGGAGGCACTATAGCTTCTCCCTTGGTGCCTCTAACAGAGGCAGCATTTGACAACTCGGATAGAAGATTTAAATTATCCCCACTCGCAGGGATATAGCCACCACCACCCCTCTGTTCACTAGAAGTAGTCCCGCTATAGAGTCCCATAATATCAGGTGCATTTGCAACAGCACCATCACTATGACTTACTGTAGAACTAATGCTTGGATCAAGAAGTCCTTCCAGTTGCATGAATGGGTCCACGGTGGGAGGTGCAACAGTGACAGTTGGTTCACCCATGTCAAGCAAATCTTGAGGAGGAGGTTGATTAGTTTTCTCTGCAGATTCTTTATTGGGTACACTTGCAGCACTAGCTTTTTGAACCTTGCTGCTAGTTGATGTTCTTCTCTCAGGTTTAGCAGAACCCCCAAACAATGAGGCAGCAAGCTTCTGCTTTTCTGGATTAATTTCATTCTGTTGCTTTCTTGAATCGTAGCTATCACGTGCTTTTGGATTTACAGTAGTTGCAACATCCACCTTTGTCACCCCATTCACTGGATTTTGGAAAGTAGAATTTGAGGATGATGCTGGGGACGAATAAGTTGGCTTGCCCCACTTTTTTTGAACACCGTCAAGCCTTAGTTTAAGCTCTGATGATCCTGTATCTGATGCTAATCCCACTGACGTGATCTGGTGAGTGTCCCTAGCATACAACGAGTCAGGTACTGGAACAAGGTCAGTTACGGATGAAAGTGAAACTGGAGTGGGAGCCTTTGGAATTTCATATGCCTCAAATCTCAGACCATGCTGTACAGATTCTTGCTGATCTTGGCTTCTGAAGTTGCCCATATTCCCCATTCCAGAGCGCTCGTTCTCTGAAATGTAGGGCATAGCACCACTTTCTATAGACTGCTGGATGTAACCATTGAGGAAAGAAAGATTATTATCCACCTGCATAAAAAATTCGGCGTGTCAATCCTAAATCAGAAAACAAGAATGCTCATATGGTGATAAGAATTGTTCTCAAGCACATTGCAAGTGCAACGAGTATGTGTACATACAATACATAGTTAAACAGCTATTGAAGTTAAGCATGCCAACAAATTAATCAAGAGATATGTAACCAAATAATTATAGATTACAACTGACAAAAAACGTGTCAAGAAATATGTATTGGAATTGGAATTTTCAAAACATATTAAGCATGACAATCTGCAATTCCCAAATTATGATCCCAAACCCTAGAAAATTAAAAAAAATACACCCTGCAAAACACCCTCCGAACAAAGAGTTCTACTTTAAAATTCAGATTGTTCAATGACTTGGATAACCTTGCCTCAGTTATCATCTTATTAGAGAAGATATTGCTGTATAGTAGAAAACTGCCACCTGGCAGTTTCCACCTCTTGGTTACCTACTGTAACCGGTGCCCTGTTCCTATATAAACAGGTGTCACCTCTTTGTAATCAGTGTGAAAGCTTTTATGAATAACAGAAAGTAGTTACAGATGGAAACAAACTTTCTCTACTCTCTCTATCTTTCTAACATGGTATCAGATTAAGCCTTCGATCCATCTTCTTCCTTGCTCCGATGGCGTCACCAAACTCGCCGGAACGAACTCCGGAACGCACTCCGTCCGGTGCGACGGCAATGTCGCAGCTTCACACGCAAGACGATTCGAATCGTCTACACTTCTCGCTCAAGATCGCACAGAAACTTGATGAAAAGAATTTTCACCTCTGGCGACAACAAATCGAACCGTATATCAACGCTCACGGACTCACTGAGTTCGTCGTTTGTTCACGAATTCCGCTTCAGTTTCTTGATGATGCTGCTCGTGCGTCTGGATCTATCAATCCAGAGTATTCGCGATGGTTGCAGAAGGATCAAATGTTGCTCTCTTGGTTGCAATCCACGCTATCCAGTGAAATCCTCTCTCGTGTCCTTGGCTGTTCTCATGCTCATGAGCTTTGGGATCGTCTCTTTAACTACTTTCAGAAGCAGACGCGAGCACGCGCTCGTCAACTTCGTGTTGAGTTACGAACGATTTCCTTGGAGAATTCCACGGTTCAAGAATTTCTGCTCAAGATTCGCAATACTGTTGATGCTCTTGCATCTATTGGAGATCCGGTGCCTGCGTCACATCACATTGATGTGATTCTTGAAGGACTTCCATCAGATTTTGCACCTGTTATTTCTGTCATTGAAAGTAAGTTTGGAGTAATGGATCTTGATGAAGTGGAGATTCTTCTCCTTGCTCACGAACTTCGCCTAAACAAGTTCAAAAAGGTTTCAACACCTGATCTTGTTTCTCTCAATCTTACGCACTCTACTCCCGCTCAATCCACTCCTGATGAGAGTGTAGTTGCCACTACGGAATCTCAGTCTCCTACACAAGTCCAGTCCTCTGATTCTGATGCTTCACACTTTCGTGGTGGTCGTTCCTTCAGAGGTGGACGTTCAGGCAGGGGTAGAGGTGGGAGATTCTCCTCTACTATTCAGTGCCAAGTTTGCTCCAAACCTGGCCACACAGCTCTCAATTGCTGGCATCGATTCAACCAGCAGTTTCAGCCTACCTATGGTACTGCCTACAACAATCAAGCCTGGACTACCTCTCCTACTCCTATGGCTGTGCAGGCTTCACATGTTTGGACCAGGCCTCAAGTTGTCTATAGAGCTGCTCCTGCTGGTGCAGCACCTAGTGCTTATGTTGCTCAAGCTGCATCTACAGCCTCTGCTAACAGTGCCTGGTATCCTGATTCTGGTGCTTCATATCATGTAACAAATGACCCTAAGAATCTTCAACAGCTGGTTCCTATTGAAGGTCATGATCAAATCCTGATTGGAAACGGGCAAGGTTTGACTATCACTTCCTCTGGCACTAGTCAATTCCAGTCACCTTCACAGTCTCATACACCTCTTATGCTCCATAAGCTCATGCTTATTCCCTCTATTACTAAGAATTTAATTAGTGTCAGTCAATTTTGCCTAGATAATGCTGTTTATTTTCTGTTTACCTCTGACAAATGTCTTGTTAAATCCCAGGCATCTCATGAAGTTCTCCTAGAGGGTTCAGTTGGTCCTGATGGCTTGTATGTGTTCCCTCCTATTGACTTGTCTAAGTCCAGCTCTGTGGTTTCCACCAGTTCCAGCTCTCAGGCTTCAGCTCCTAGTATTAATTCTGCTGTAGTTTCATCTCATGTTGATAGATTTAGTACTTCAAATAAGTGGCACTTAAGGTTAGGGCATCCTAACATTCAGACACTTAAACTTGTACTCAACAGTTGTAATGTTTCATTCAGTAATAAAGAGTTGGATTTTTTCTGTACTGCTTGTTGTATGGGTAAGTCTCATAGACTTCCATCATCACCATCACACACTACTTACACCAGACCTTTAGAATTAGTGTATGGAGACTTATGGGGACCTTCTCCTAATGTGTCTACATTAGGCTTCAAGTACTACATGTCATTTGTGGATGCCTTTTCCAAATTCACTTGGATTTATTTTCTGAAATCTAAAGCTGAGGCACTGTCTATTTTCAAACAATTTAAGGTTCTGGTTGAATTACAACTTGGCTGCTCCATTAAGGCTTTTCAATCTGACTGGGGGGGTGAATTCAGACCATTTAATAAGCTTCTTTCAGAACTGGGCATTGTCCACAGAGTTGCCTGCCCTCACACTCATCACCAAAATGGTGTGATTGAAAGAAAGCATAGACATATAGTGGATACAGGACTTACCTTGCTAAGTCAGGCATCTATGCCTCTGCCCTATTGGGACTTTGCCTTCTCCACTGCTGTCTATTTGATCAATAGACTCCCTTCAGCTTCTGTTGGTTCTCAGGTGCCCTATTCCTTACTCTTTGGGATCAAACCTGACTATTCCTTTCTCAAGGTGTTTGGTAGTGCTTGTTTTCCTCTTCTAAGACCCTATTCTACTCATAAGTTTAATTTCAGGTCTCATGAATGTCTGTTTCTAGGCTACTCAACATCTCACAAAGGCTATAGATGCCTCTCTCCATGTGGTAAAGTCTACATTTCTAAGGATGTTTTGTTTAATGAGTCAAGGTTTCCTTACCTTGATTTATTCTCCACCACTAAACCTATTCTGCCTCCTAATACTTCTTCTCATGTCTCTCTCTCTCCTTTACCTATTTTCACCACTCCATCATCTATTCTTTCTCCTTCTGTTGGTCCTTCATCTGCTCCCACAATGCCCTTTAATAGTCAGTCTAGTCCTCCTTCTGCTACATCTTCTGTGTCTTCTCATTCTGCTGCAGGTACTCATTCCTCTCCTGTGGGATCTTCTGGTAGCCCTGCTCCCTCTGAATCTCTTCAGCACACCACCTCTACTGCCACTGATGAGTCCTCTTCTCAGTCTGTCAGTCAAACAAATGAGAATTTAGCACCAGATTCTGTCACCATTCCTCCCAAAGCAGTACCTGTATCAGCTGTTCCCATTAATCATCATTCCATGACCACAAGAGCCAAAGCTGGCTTCAGACAACCTAGACTGGAACCTAGGGTTTTATTGACAGTTGTTGAACCTAAGTCAGTAAAACAGGCTCTTGCTAGTGCTCAGTGGCTGGCCGCTATGCAAGCAGAGTATAATGCCCTAATTTCCAACAACACTTGGACTCTTGTACCTCTGCCACCTCATAGGCAAGCTATTGGCAGCAAGTGGGTATTTCGTGTCAAGGAAAACCCTGATGGCTCCATTAATAAGTATAAAGCAAGACTTGTTGCAAAAGGTTTTCATCAAAGGGAAGGGTTTGATTTTAATGAGACATTTTCTCCAGTTGTTAAACCCATTACAATCAGGATTATTCTGTCTATTGCTCTTACCTACAACTGGTCCATACAACAGCTGGATGTCAACAATGCTTTCCTCAATGGATTACTTGATGAAGAAGTTTATATGGTTCAGCCTCAAGGTTTTGAGCACTCTGACTCTTCATTGGTGTGCAGATTGAATAAAGCAATCTATGGCCTCAAACAAGCCCCTAGGCAATGGTTTGAGAGACTTCAAACAGCTCTTGTGCAGCTTAAGTTTCATCCTAGTAAGTGTGATCCTTCACTCTTCACTTATTTTGAAGGAGGCCATACTGTCTATCTACTTGTCTATGTAGATGACATTATTATTACTGGCAGCTCTTCCTCTTTACTGCAGTCTATCATCACCAAGCTTAATGTTTCCTTTTCTCTCAAGCATTTGGGTGATCTGGACTACTTTCTTGGTATTCAAGTCACCAAGACTGCTTCTCAATCTTTGCTTCTCACACAGTCCAAATACATCAAAGACTTACTGCATAGGACTAATATGCTGGAGTGTACACCTGTAGCTACCCCTATGCAATCTACCTGCAAGCTTACAAAGGTGGGCTCACCTCCACTGACTGATCCTTTTATGTACAGGTCAGTGGTTGGTGCTTTGCAATATGCCACCCTCACTAGGCCAGATATAGCCTATGCTGTGAACAAGGTGTGTCAATTTATGGCACAGCCTCTTGAAGCTCATTGGGTGGCTGTCAAAAGAATTTTGAGGTACCTCAAAGGTACCATCTCCCATGGCCTGCATCTGACTGCTCTTACACCCTCTACTTCACCTACTATTAAGCTGTTCTGTGATGCTGACTGGGCCTCTGACCCAGATGATAGAAGAAGTACCTCTGGTGCTGCAATATTTTTTGGCCCTAATTTGGTCTCCTGGTGGTCCAAAAAGCAACATGTAGTAGCTAGGTCCAGCACTGAATCTGAATTCAGAAGCATGGCTCATGCTGCAGCTGATTTGCTGTGGATTCAAACCCTTCTTCAGGAACTATTCATCTCTTGCAAGACTCCCCAGATTTTCTGTGATAACCAGTCTGCAGTTCTTCTGGCACATAATCCTATTATGCATACTAAGACCAAGCACATGGAGATTGACCTCTTCTTTGTCAGAGAAAAGGTGCTTAGCAAACAATTACAAGTTGTGCACATCCCAGGCACGGATCAGTGGGCTGATGTGCTCACTAAACCATTAGCTTCCACTGCTTTTTTGACTCTTAGGCACAAACTCAGAGTAGTTGCCTCCTCCTGAGTTTGTGGGGGGGGTATTAGAGAAGATATTGCTGTATAGTAGAAAACTGCCACCTGGCAGTTTCCACCTCTTGGTTACCTACTGTAACCGGTGCCCTGTTCCTATATAAACAGGTGTCACCTCTTTGTAATCAGTGTGAAAGCTTTTATGAATAACAGAAAGTAGTTACAGATGGAAACAAACTTTCTCTACTCTCTCTATCTTTCTAACACATCTCAACTCCCAAGTTGAACTTTAAGGTACAGAAACAAAATGCTAAATTATTTAAATAAAATTATTAGAAATAAAAAATCTACCTAAACTCGAGTGTTACATGTAAAGTGATATTATGTTGGGTCATGTAAGAGACATTGCATTGAGTCATGCAAATTTATGCTCATCCAGGACCCATTGAAGTATTTTACTGAAAGGGAGAGGAAATAAAATAAAGAAGTTTATGCACCAACTATTATTGTTGTGGGATTTAGGATGTCTTATTTTATTAGTAAGGTTTCTAAAAAAGTACAAAACCCTATGCTTTTGCTTAGTATGCAAGGAAAGAGGGAAGAGTCTTAATTTAATAACCAGCTGGAAATTGTAAAGTCGTGCAGTGATAAGAGGTCATAAATAACCTTTGCTTACTGAAAAGATAGCATCGTTTAATTGACCACGTGCTTTGAATAACTAGTCACAAGTAAAATATGCCTAAGGTATTAGTGGGATTGGAATTTACAATCACATAAACTTGTATTTATTGTAAATAGATTATAAATACAGCTCTGTGTAGTCTAATTAGACACACAAAATTCAAATTCAATATGACTGATAATTAGTAGTCTTACTGTCCTTGAAATGCGGTGCTTTCACTTTCTCTTTATTTTTTCATTCACAGTGCACTTTCCAGTGCCATTTTATTTGATTTTTCCCCTCAGACAGCTGTGCTTCACCAGCTGTCATTGTTTCAGAAACACACAATAACCACCACGAACCGCCTCGTAATCACGGCTAGATTGACACACTCCTTAATGTTTCTTTAGCTAATGGATCACAAACCAAATGTCTAGGCATTGGCCAAACTAGTTCCCTATCCCTAGTGTTACTTAGCTAATGGATCACAAACCAAATGTTAGGCATTGGCCAAACTAGCCCCTGCACACTTTGGTCTCTATGCTGTACTTTGGACACTATGCTCTATGTTCACGATTATATATTTATTTCTGGAGCTCGGACACCCCAAATACGGCACCGACACTGGCACGGCGACACCAGTCATAAATTAAAAAATAAATCAATTAAATTTAATCACAAGTGTCGATGTAGGTGCCCGACACAAACATGGACACGCCTTTTTCAAAGGTGCCTGCTACAAAGGTCTATTTTAATAAACAAAAATAACCAAGCCTTATTCCACTAAGTGAAGGGTCGGCTACATGGATCAACTTCCACCATAATGTTCTATCCAAGACCATGTTTTTATCTAAATTGTTAATCTCGAGATCTTTCATAATAACTACTCTTATAATTTTCCTAGGTCTTCCTCTACCTCTAACTATTTGACTCCTCTCCATTTAATCTACTCTCCTTACCACAGAATCTTAATGTCTTCTCTCTATATGCTCAAACCACCGAAGTCTATTTTCTACCATCATTTCTACAATAGGTGCTACCCCCAACACTCTAATTTTCTAATTTTGTTATTTCTAATCTTATCCTATCTAATCTTACCACCCATCCAATGCAACATCCTCACCTCTGCTACACTTACTTTATTCTCATGTTGATCCTTAAACGCTCAACATTTTGTCTCATACAACATCGCAAACCTTACACTGCAATCCGATAAAATTTACCCTTCAACATCACAGGCATTATAGAGGTTTATTTTAATATCCATCATTAAACTCACCATACCCAACCTTACTATGTTCCCTTCGCTAATACTTTTGATCTTGTGCAGGATCAAAATATTGGGAAGACGATTGGAGCAGGGCATGAATCTTGAGGCTTGTATTACCTATTGGCACCTTCACCACCTATTGCAAGTCCAGATGTTGAGCCTTTACATGTTGTTCATCCACGTTTGGAACATCCTAGCACTCAAAAGTTGCACCTTATAGTTCCGAGTCTCTTAAAAATGTATACCTTAATGTGAGTCGTGTCAATTCGGAAAACATACTAGGAGTTCCTTTCCCGACATAGTCAATAACCGAGCTGCATCTTATTTTTCTTTAACTCATTCTCATATTTAAGGCCCTTGTCGTGTTGTTTCAAGTTTGGGTTATCAATATTTTGTTACTTTTTTTTATGAATTTTCTCCAATTACTTTGATATTTTTAGTGAAAATTGTTCAAATGTTTCCTCAGTCTTTCAAACCTTTTTGTTAGAAATAAATACACGCCAAATCAAAATATTTCAAAGTGAAAACACTCACGAATATTTGTCTACATCCTTTCAAACGTTTTGACTTCATAAGGCATCCTCCATCAGACTTCATAAGCTGATTCCTCAATAAAATGGTGTTGCTGAAAGAAAGAACCCACACGTTGTAGAAATAGCTCGTGCCATGCTCCTTCACAACTATGTACCCTTTCAATTTTGGGGAGATGTGATCCTCACAGCTTGCTACTTAATCATTGCATGTTCTCCTCCGTTCTTAACCACCAGCTACCACATTCCGTTTTGTTTCCCCAAAAACATCTTTACCACTTTTGTGTATTTGGATGTACATGTTTTGTTCATGATCTCAGTCCAAGGTCAAGAGTATTTTCCTAGACTACTTTCATCACATAAAGGCTATCGATGCTACTCCCAGTATTTTCAGCGATACATTTTCTCTAGAGATATTAGCTTCTTTGAGACTCATCCAATATTTTCTTCTACTCCAGACAAGTCAAGTGATTCTAGTAAGTCACAATCTTTCCATCGAAGAGCATCAATCTTCCCATTTCACCCCCATCCAAATCTCTAACCCCACCTTTACCCTTCGCACATATCAACAGAGGCCGCGTCCACCACCCAATCCCCAGGACTCTTCCCCAACTTTGTTGGACTCTCCTACTCCACATCCTACACCAGAGCTGCCCCATTGCCCTATATAAAGGTAACAGATGCTCCCGAAGTCCTAATTATATCTATGCTAGTCATTCGAATTATCGTCACTTATCTACATCCTATTAAGCCTTTGTGGTTTCCTTGGATTGTGTGTATATTCCCAAAACTATAGGTGAAGCTATGTTTGATCTTGGCTGGCAACGTGCAATGGAAAAACTACAGTGGGTTTGCACTCCAATTGTACTTGGGATTTGGTACCCTTAACTAATGGAAACACTACATGGGTTGTCAATGAGTCTACAGAGTTAAAGTTGGGCCTCTTGGAAAGATTGACTGCTTAAAAGTTTGCCTTGTGTTAAAAGGGTACACACTAGTTTTTGGCCTTGAATACGAGAATACCTTTTCTCACGTTGCCAAGATTGCATTTGTCCACCTTTTTCTTGTCGTTGTTGTTATACATCAATTGTCTCTCCATCAATTGGACATCAAAGATGCCTCCCTACATTGATCTCACTTCGCTTTCCAGCTACATTGATCTCTATATGGCTTGAAGCAATCTCGTTGTGCTTGGTTGGGGAGGTTAAGCACTATGTTCTAGGAGTATGACATGGTCAAATGTGAAGCTAACTACTCTATCGTCTTGCATTCTTCACCAAATGCTTGCATCTCTCTGCATGTTTATGCTGATGACATCACAGGTAATGGCGATGGTGGCATTCATCGACTCAAACAACAGTTATCTTTACACTTTCAGACAAAATATTTGAGGCCACTAAAATATTTTTTGGGAATATGGCAATGCAGCTTAGGGCGGAAACACGGTAGGTATAATAAGTGTTGCAGCCTATGGCGGCTGGCAGCATAATATCCCCAGTGCTTTAACACCATGGCGTCGCAATGGAAGAAATTTGACAACAGTGATTATATAACAACAACATAGTGCACTGCAGACATCATTAATTTTAAAATGACAATACATGTGAAAATTAACAATAACCTCAGTGTCTTTGCAACATTAAATATGTTGAGTATTATAAATCAACATAGTAAAACCATTATTAATTTTAAGATGACATAAGAATATGTTAAATTAACAATGACCTCAATATCTTCGCAACTGGCATCATGCGGTAATATTGCTTCAACAGCTTGTGCATCCAAACCAATAACGGCTTGCAACTCATAAGCACGTTGCTGCAAATCAGTGAAGTGGGATGCTAATAATTCTTCAACCAAAGATTGACACTGCAATTTGAAAAGAAAATGTTACTCATCTTGGTAGCACTATACCCAATCAAACTTCAGCTTAAAAAAATTACAAAAATTACAGGAGAATCAAATGTAAGTGTTGGAGCTAGTATAAGATGCAAAAATGTGCCGAAGAATGCTACTGGGAAAAGACAAGATATGGGATGGCAACATGGTACTGGTATAGATGGTGATGCAAGGAAAAGAAAGTGCAACTATTGTCATAAAGTGTATGCTAAAGGCATTTGTCAATTTAAGCCCCACTTAGCAGGCACAAAGAAGGATATTGAAGAGTGTAGAGCTGTTCTGGATGAAATTCATCAACAAATGTGGGACATTGGTTTTCGATCTTGACAATATTGTGTAGAAACCAGAACCAGCCATTGTTTCACAATTTCATGCTTCTATTTTCTCTTGCTTACGGTATCATTGTAGTGCAGTTCTTTTTTATGATGATAAAGATGGGATAATATGATATTTATTAGTCAAAGGTTGAATTATGCTCAAAACTTAAGCATTAACTTCCTTTGCAGAAAGTCAGTGACAATAGGACAGGTAGAGAATTTAACCTAAATTTTTCAGCAAATACCTCAGATAGCATATCCACTTTCCTCCCAGCTGCTATTTCAAATGCATAAATTTTTGTCAATGCTGTTATTGCGTATGCCTTCACAACAAACAATAAATTAGTCCCAACAGAAAATCGTTAAGTCAGAAAGGTGGAATCAGTTGTCATATTAGAGCATAAAAAAGGGTTAGGGATAATGAGAAATCATAAAACACGATGAACATCAGTGATTATAAGAAGAAAACATCATCAGCATTAGCAATCATGCAATGCTGCCCAATAAAATACAATTACAAGAGACTAGGCCCAATTTAGAAACATCTAACACCGAATGAAATTTGTAACTATTAGGACAAACACAAGTCCCACATAGAACTGATATAAGGTCTGATAAAAGTTTATAAAGAGAGACACCTCTCACCTTACAAGTCGGGTTTGTAAGGATGAGTTAGGCCTAATATAAAAACCTAATACGGTATCAAAGTCTATCAATCGGACCACCCACCATTTATATTCATGCACCAAGCCCGACAGTGATGGGTGAGAGGGTGTATTGAAAAAAAACTCAAGTCTTGCATAGATTCTCACCAGTGAAATCAATGAAGCATTGATACATCTAGAGTAACTACCTATAATATTCAATAAATAAGACTTTCATGACAGTAAGTACAAGGAAACGCTCATTCCATACTTGTAGATGACGGTGATTCTTCAATACACTTCCAAGACTACGCTTACTTTTAAGGATGTTGACAACAGACATTCCAATTTATTACTCCTACCTGTGAATCTTTTTAGGATTTTGAAGTAAGATCCTTTTATTTACTGTTTAAGTTATTGACTTTTGAACACCAACTTAATTTGCAATTGTTTTCAAAATGATAAAGAAGTTATGTCATTGATTTGGTTGATTTCCAAATGCTTTGATATTCAGATGTTCTTCTAATTAGAACTAATAGATTACTTTCAGAAGTACTATATAACATTTTTACTAAAAGTCGCACCTAAAAGTTGTGAGACACTCTAGTCTCAATATATTTGGTTATCCTAGATAGTAAGCAGTTACTTAAAGACAATTTTAAGTTAGTTTCAAATGCCCAAGGCAAAGTAATTGATTAATAGCAAAAGTAGTAGGCTACTTCAAAAAATTAAGAACTACGAACCACTTTACCCTAATTCTTCTGTATACAAAGGGAGTTTACCCAATTGATTTAAAAAGAAGAAAAAAAGCCTGAACAAGGTTGTTATGGTTCTAAAATCACTACTCCTTGAAAAGAGTTGCTATGGTTCTAAAGTTAAGCTTGAGGACATGTAGATCACAACTTCACAAGGATGTGAACAAACCCAGTATAAAATCATGTATCAATTTTCTCTATCCTAATTCCTAATTGTTATTTCAAGTATAACATCTCTTTATATTTCAAGCAATCCATAATTGTTATTTCATTGAATCTTGTTGAACTTGATATTCTTTGTTTGCTCATATATCTTGGGCATACTACTTAATCAGTTTGATTCTTTTCTTAATAACTTGACATATTCATATGTCTTTATGTTCAAGAATCATTTTAAAAAGTGCATTTCATATGACACCACTTTGCATATCTTTCATGAAGAAAGTTTTGCATTTCTACCCTAAACTTGATAAAAGGAGAAATTTATTCACAAAAATCTTGTACTCGGTTCACCCTCTCCCCTCCACTAGATTTTACATTTAAACCAAAAATGCTCATCCAATGCAATCAATCAGAAAGGTGACAATGCTCATCCCATGATGTATTTTTACTTTTAGTGTTAACTGTTAAATAATAATGTTATTTGTTATTTACATGGCATGTAACATATACCACACTGCAGATACGTACAAGAAACGATTATCCTATCAAAGTGCATTACAGTGCTTGAATCTTAAGAATGTAGTCAGTAAGAGTGTCTCAATGAAACGGCATGGTGACTTTTCAGCTCTTTCCTAATCAGTAAAAGGTAGGCTTTCACTTCTGTTGAACAAAATTATTTGCATTTGATAAATACCTTAACGATTTCATCATTAGAATATGCTTCTGCCATATCGCATAACTTTCCAGCGATATAGGACGCGGAATGCTTTCCATCAGCTGTGCCATATTCCCCAATAACCCAGCAGATAACCTGTAATCAGTATTAAAGATTACTCAACAGACAGATCTAATTTCTTGGGAAGTAAAAGAAGTGGGATATATTATAAAACTTAAGTGGGACAGAGAGTACTTGAAGAAACCCTGATGGAAGCTTTGGCTCTCCAATAATGCGCAAATATGACTCAACCTACATATCCAAGAAGAGCTTCTACTTAGTAACATGCATATGACTAATTTTGTAGACGCGTACCAGATAAAGAGGAGCTAGTATCAAGATAACATACAGCAGACGATCTCAGCTGACTGTATGCCGCATCATCATCCTCTCCAAATCCTTCCGCAATCAACCGCATTAAATTATGTGCAACTTTAATGTTCACAAGATCTCCAGCATGCTCAAAAACTTTATTCATGGTCTGCATTATCAAGTGCATGGTACTGTTAGCTGTAGATGAATGTTTGTAAAATATAATGCAAAGCCAAGAACATAAAAACAACCATTCTAACTACCTGTATAAACCAATGATTACTTGGTGCAAATTGCTCAGCAAGTTCTACACATCGAGAAGCAATATAGGTTTTGTAATGATCGTCACTGATGCTGATCATGTACTCAATCATACGGTCAACAATCACTTCCACATTGGAAGACTTGGTCATTTTGTATAGCAGTTCAAAAGTTTTTCGCTTCAAAGTATCATCGGGATCCTGCACCATCCAAATTAGATTTTTATCTTGACTGCAAAGCCTGGGATGAGTTAAACTGATTGAAACCTTTGTCTAAAAGCTAACAAATGCATGTGATTCTAAAGGCCATCTGAGATTAATTACAAGATCTCAAACAAACAAAAAAAAAACAGATGCAATTGCAAATAAAACAAAATCTGGTTGAGTTCACAACCAGGTAATGAGCAGTATATAACCATTTAATAGCTCTATATATGATAGAATACTTAATCAGATAATATTATTTTCAAAAAAAAAAAAAGATGAACAGATAATATTATAGACGTGCTTGCATAAAATTAATGATAATACACAAGGTGGGTTCACTTAATAGGAAATAATTGGCATGTTTTTCACAGTCAAACCAGGTCAAGGTACAACAAGCATTAGTTTATCATCTTTCTAGATTGGTTGCACAACTCTTCATAAATGCATCTGGAGACAGGATATTGGCTGGTTTTCAAACTCGAACAACATTGGACAAACATCAATTCATTCTCTTGCTGAATTTTTTGGTAAAATTGTTCATATTTTATAATGTATCTGCAAGGCATGCTAATAACAGTCTCCATTACTATTTACTAGTCTAAATAAGAAACATTTATATACAAAAAACAGGGAACAGTGAAAATGTTGTGCATAGGTGGAATCCAACAAGAATATACTCCCTCTGGTCACAATTATAAGCCAAAATAACTACTTTCACACTTATTAAGACAGTTAGTTAAGTGCAATTAATTTTCTCGATTTCGTGTACAATCAAAATAAAATTTACTATAATATCCTTAGTTATATTTGATACATCAACTACCAACATTAAATGCTTTTGAATTAAATTAAGGGTATCATAGTTATACAAATATTAATTAATCTAAAAGTTAATAACTTTTGCTTATAAAAATGATCAAGATTTAAGATCATTTTTTTTGCTTATAATAGAGGCCAGAGGGAGTATGTTAATTAATTTCATTTTTGTCTAATGTGTAACATCACACAAGTGACTAACAACAAGTCAGCAACAACACATTCTCTATGCATGTTCATTTGCACAACATTTTTTGTTACAAATAGTAGATATTCATTATCCACATTGTATAGAGATAGTGATGAGTTTATTTTCCATATAACATAGAAAGAAAGAAAAGGATTCTTCTCATACTTAAATCAAACATAAAGGGAAAAGAACAATGATCTGAAAATCCAAAATAAAAATTGGCAATGCAAAACACATTTGTCTCAACTATTAAAGCATTTAAGTAAGAAAACCCTCACCTCTAAGCAGTCAATGACAGCAAGTTGATGTTGTTCTGCAATAAGCGGACTTAGCTTTATCAGCCGACCGAGAGCATCAATGCCCATATACTTTAGATTATGACTATCACTCTGGCCATACAAACACAGCAGCAACACATATGTAACACGTCATAACACAGCCTAATGCAAAAACATGTACAACATAAACTAGAAACAAAATCTGTTTCAACAACAACAAAAAAAACAAACCTTTAAGAACTTGGCAATCACATCTGCAGCAGCTTCTAACAATTTGGGATTGGGATATATGGAAGAGACACAGCGAATTGACTCGTAAAGAATAGCATTCCCTATGTTACTTGACGAATCTCCCTTCCTAATTATATCGCCGATTACAGTATACATGTGTTCGCTAGCAGACTTGTCGCCGTTCCCCAACAATGCAAGAAGTTTCAGCAACTTAATCTGCCCACTCAAAAAACATTATTTTTCCTCAAATCAAAAGCAATGCAAATCAAAAACATAACTTCTGTGTGTTAATTGTATTCCGGTGGATTATATCATCATTGATTTACCTTTTGCCAAACATAATTTATGTGAAAAAATGTTTAATTTCTGCCACAAAAAATTGATTTTGCCTCCAATTCTTAATTTGATTTTGACTAAGAGTATGAAAGGTATCTTTTGTATACACTTGAAAAATCGACACTATTTTCTACATCAACCGTGTTTGCCGAGTAAAAACATCAAAACATAAATAGTTTATCTTCAAACTCAATTATAACCAAATCAATTCTATTAAAGAAAAACATGTTGGTCACCCTAATCATCAAAACACATGACTAGTGTGTATGTTTGGTATCACACTGAATTTGACGAAATCACTGCAGCACTGTGATTTTGTTGAAGTATCAAACAAAGAACACAATGGCACACGGTGATTCTATCAAACTCATTGCTAATCCACGCATGCACCATGCAGTAGTCACGTTTGGCATTGAAAACAAAATCAAATGATTGGCCCTACATTTTAAACTAATTATAGACATGCACAAAACAGAAACTAAATCAAAACTAAAACTAAGCTCAGAAGAACCACCTGAACGAACGGCGCTGGCATCTGGTGATAATCATAGCTCTTAGGCAACCTATGCTCCGCTACCTGTTTCAGAATACTAACAAAACTAACAACAAGATCCTTAAAAGGTGTAGGATCATCGTTTATGAGATCAAACAAAGGACAAAGAGTAGCACCCATTACACCAGGATCATTATCACACAACCGCTTCCGAAAATTCGAAACAAGATGCGAAACAGAGGAAGGCGATTTCCGATGAAAGCTATGAAGTGCCATAACCGCTTTCTTCCTAACAGCTTCCTTAGAGTGAGAAAGCAGTTCAACAACAAGAGGCAAAACGGCAGGAATAGTCTCGTCGTTGATAAGTCTACAAACGGCATTAAGTGCAGCACAAACGACAAGATAGTTATCAGACTTAAGATCCTTCTGGATAGTGTTAACAATGAGAATAATAAGATCATGATCGTCGTTTAAAAAAAGAGTAACGGCGAGATAACCGGTGCGTTTGGAAAGAAGGTTATCATCGTGAGTCATCTTAACGGCGTGAATGTAACCGAACGAAGCATCGTGACCAAGCATCTCGACGTAGAGGAGGCGGATAATGTACTCTTTCATCTTCCGTTTCGGGATATCAGGCTCGGAGATTCGTCGTTTAAGGGTTTCGATTTCGCGGATTACGATTCGATCTTCTTCGGCTTTGGATCGAGCTTCTCCGATGGATTTTATCAGGTCGAGAAACTCCTTGGATTGGCCGAACCCGCCTTGGGATCCCATGGCGAGTTCGCGGCCGATTGTCTTCAATTGCTCCAGTTTGGAGGTTTTTTGTGGAGGTTTTGGAGTTTTTGGATCCGGATCGGGGTCCGGGAGGTGGTTACGGTGGTGGATCTGGTGCGGAGAGAGGGTTTGTTGTGGATGAATGCGGGTGTGAAGAGTGTGAAGATGAAAAAGTAGAAGAAGAGGGTAAACGACGTCGTATGCGACGAAGAAAGAAAGAAAGATAAATGGAAGAAAACAAACAACAGTAACTGGGTGACTCGTGTGATGGTGGTGTACAGTGTAATAAAAACTGTTTATTGTTATTTTCTCTGAATTCAGAAAATGGTGGTTAATTGGTAATGAATTTTTTTAAAAACAAATTGGTAATGGTAATGTAATTTTCAGGTGTTAATGCAAGTTTTGTGAAAAATAAAATAAAAGGATGTTGATGTGAGGTAATTTTTAAAATAGTAGTATCAGAATAGATATTGTAAAGAAAAATTAAAAACTATTTATTCAACTAAAAAATATATAAGCTAATGAAGAAGGTACACGTTTTTTTATAAAATGCAAGTGAAAAAATATATTGTTTTTGAATAAGTACACTTCCGGTATGTTTGATAGAGGAGAAAAAGAAGAGAGAGAGAGAGAGATTGAAGAGAAGAGTAAAACTTCTCTTGTTTGGCTAGGGTGAGAAAGAGAAGAGAGACGGAATAATAATGTATTATAATGTATGGGTCCCATCATTTTTCCAATCTTCTAGAAATGAGAAAAAGTGTTAATTTCTCAATTTTACCTAATTAACTAGTCGATAACCTGTGCTGTCGCACGGGGCCGGTCGAGAATTCATAAAACGTGAAATTAATGTTGTCATGTAACAGTAAATTCGTTTTTATGTAATTCAATAGAAGTTCATCTAATTCGGCCAAATTTAGTGTATCAAACTTATTTGACAACATTAAAAAATGTAAACTGAAATCATGATTGTGTAACAAAATAAGAAACTGTGATGACTCTTCAAAATAAGAAACTATCACGAGTCTTCAGATACAACGCAACCAGCTTGGGAACCATGTTTTCAACTTTTTGACCTGCACAATAAATTATGCAAAAATTAGACAGCATTTACGGAAACAATTTATATTAAAGAAAATATTTGTTATTATGTACTTACCGATCAACAAAGAGATTGGAAAACTTCTTTGTATACAACATTTGTAGTGATAGATGTTGATACATTCATAATATCATGTATTAAGATCTTTAGACCACTTTTGCTTGTAACTCTTGAAATGGCTACATACAACTGCGTTCCTTGTGAAGATATAAATTTGTAGCAAATGCAACAAAAGTAACTCGTAGAATAACTCGTAGAATCAAATGCATAATAGATGAGTTTATATATATATATATATATATATATATATATATATATATATATATATATATATATATATATATATATATATATATATATATATATATATATATATATATATATATATATATATATATATATATATATATATATATATATATATATATATATATATATATATATATATATATATATATATATATATATATATATATATATATATATATATATATGTTAAGTGTAATAGAGAGCAATGTATTTTAGCTAACCTCATAAGCAATATCGCGTAGTTTGGGGTTTCGGTAGGCATGTAGAGAACCAAAGCATGGAGTTGAAGTAGACATTCAAAGTGGAAGACCCATCTAAAAAAAATAATTCATTGACACTCAATTACAAAATATGAATAAACAATATATGGAATTAAAAAGTGTAAAGTTTAAATAGAATTCAAATTTATGATCCTGTGTGTGACATGCAAAGATAGTGTGTGACATACAAAAGTATTCAATCTGCACTATGAATGGCCTTAAAGATAAATATCTAGTTACCCACATAACAATACATCAAAACAATTTCAAAATAAAACTAATGCAATAATAAAGCGAAGCTAATGCAGATTGAAAAAAAACTGGAAGTGGGATGGTTGATAGCACCAGATCATATTCTTATAAGAGATCTATATCATAGCAGTAAGCAAAAATTATGGCAGTGTACAATCCTATTATCTACCACAAGACTTTGACTACCTTGGCATTTGAAAAAATTGATTCATACTGAGTGGCATAGACATATCCAGGTAATAACAATAACAACTGCAATTTCATCTATTAAATCTAAGAAAATAGAGTCTATGTTGAATTCACTTAATTGGACACACACAAAGTTAAACTCACTTACACAAATTTTGTTCTATAACTTAATAGAATTCATAGGAAAGGAAGATGTTTTTAAGTTGCCTCCACATTTCAGTTCATTTCTACTTTGGAAAACTGCAAAGTTGATTGATCAGGTAGCCTGGCTCCAGTCCTCCCTTAGAAAAAAAGCAGACTGGTTCGAGACTCAAACGGATCTCGAGGCTCATCATCTTTATGAGAATTTACAACATATGCATATGGGGACACTAAATACTTGTTCCAATTAGAAACGCCTTTGGGATAACGACCAAAATCAATAACAACCTGAATAGAGTTGTATGTGAGTTATAGAGTTTTTTAAGATATGTTAAAAATAAATTAGATGTAGTTGTATGTGAGTTAACTTCAAGAAGTTCAATTGGAGAGTTTTTTGAACTGCCCGAATTATACAAATGATGTGTTCTCCTCTTCTTGGACCTTAGAAACACTGGAAGTTCTTGATCCATATCATAATTTTGATTAATATTATTATTTGGCATTCCAGATTCAAGTTCCAATACCTCAGCTTCAATGTTATTCTCTTGTTCATGCAAGTGATGTATGAACTCAATTGCATCTTTACTAATCGAAGCCTTGTCCATCTAAAATAAGAAAAAACATGTCACCACTCATCATATTAATTAATTTGAACCATGATTAATATTAATTTAGGGACAACCAGAATGAATTAGTGAAGTTTACCTTGGTAATGTTGAGGACCACTGCTTTAAGAGCAAAGAGTCTTTCATTGAGTTTCTTACTTTTATTCTTTTCAGAAACAATGGTCTTAGATGAAGTTGCACCATCAGGAGAGCTTGAATCACAATATCCTGAAAATGTTTCTTACAATCCCCAACTGCCACCACATCTCAATTGATTACTCTAATTAATTTAATTTCACTAATTGTAGCTATAATTGAATTAAGAGAGTTTATTGATACTGTTGCCTAAGTTCTTGGGCTTGGAGGAACATGTTGGTCTCCCAGTATTGCTTATACTCTTCATTAATATTCTCCATGCCTCCAACTTTGTACAAATATTATTTTTTTCATACTTTTGTCTCTCATACCAGTATTTTTTTCATACTTGCATCCTGCTAAAACATAACAATGCATAATAATATTACTTCCACAGTTGATAACAAAGCATCTAGTGTGCAGCCACAATGAATAAAAGACACGACACATAAACAACCTTACACTAAAATAGTAAGACATCCCACATAGTTAGTGCAACTCAAGCATAGTAAGTTATTTTCATTGAAACAAAAGCAGAAAAATCTAAACTTCTTCTCATTTGAACATAATCATCAGCAACATAACATCACAACATAAAAAAAATCAAAACTGAAACAAAAAGAGGAAAGAATCCAGTTGGGACATTTCATTGAACATCTTGTGAGCGAAGACAAAATCTGTATTTTTCTTCATTTCAACTGGTAAGCGCTCATCCAACTTAGGCAGTATTTTTCTTCATTTCAACTGGTAAGCGCTCATCCAACTTAGTCTGCATTTTTCTTCATTTTAACTGGTAAGTGCTCATCCAACTTATCTTTATAATGCTGTATACTCGCTTTAATTTTAATTCAAACTAAAATCTGCACCGAAATCGAATCACAATCAACTGTAGTAGAACCCGTAAATATGCAAGAATTCCAAAATGCAAACAATTGTAAACAGAAAACGTAAATCAAATATTGAACTAAAACAAAACTCGATTTCTCAAGAGATTTATTCCATAGCATAATACTTTTGCTTTGAATTCATGTCAGGCACAAACCGTAACCGAACCACTCGAACAACAACATCCCATGATTCTTTTGCAGGAGTTATTTCAGTAATATAGTCTCGCCTTGCAGCGGCCATTGCAGATTTATGAAATAACAGTAAGAACAATTCCCAACACGTCTGAAACTTTTCCTTTGATTTGCACCAAACCTGTCATCCATTATACGTCCTCGAAATTGTTAGAACTGTTGCAGTAAATTGGCACTATCTTTACACCAGTTTTCCACCTTAAATCTTTATCAAACCTACAAAAGTACAATAAAAAGATAAGTATACAAATTATTCATCATATATACTTATTCCATGAAGGTTAAGAGTTCATTAGCAGCAGCTGCTCCAGGAGTAATGACTATTATTTGTGGCTCGAATTTGGGTCTACCACCTCTTACTTATTCCATGAAGGCTGCCATTGCAGTTCTGATAGATATAAGTCGATGATAGTCTTGAAATAATGCATTCTCTCTAAAACCATTATAATCCTCTGGGTACTTTTCTACCAAATCAATCCTCTGGGTACTTTTCTACCAAATCAAATGAAACCTGAACACAGCACGTTAAAATATATTAGTATTTCATCAGAAGCTAGAACTATAAACATTAATTTGAATAGAATGATATATGAATATAGACTTACTTGGTTAGGATACTTGCAAGAAAACGCTCGCGGTACGAAGTCTCTGTGCAATTGCAATTGCTGCCTGCAGAGAGATGTCATAACAAATGGATAAAAAACAGATTTCGACATAGACATTATATTATATTTCACGCAAATTCACCTGTAAACCAAACATTTTACAATCAGCTTCCATTTCATGTTACTTACCTGCTGCAACAAAAGTCTCAGCTGTTTAGAACACTATCCCATAACAGAAATTGACAGATTGTTAAAATGCCATTAGTCCACACCATTTTGGTTCAGTAGAATGTTGCAAATATATTTTAAAATCTACGAAATGGATT